ACAGACCTACCAACCCACCTACACACGCACACAGCTACAACGACACACCACGACACCACGACAACGACAAACACACACCACAACACACCATGACACCAGCCCCAAGACCAAACAGACACCACGACACACGACACATAGCCACGACAGCACACACAGACACCAGACACAACGACACCACGACAGCAACGACACCAAGAGCACGACACCACGACCAACTACACCAGGACACCACGACAGGACGACAGCACGACCCACCAGACAGCACGACACCACGACACACGACACCAGGACACCACACAAACACGCACCACGACAGCACACACCACGACACCACAACCACCACGACAACACACCAGACACCAGGACATACGACACGACACCCAACACACCACTACATCACTACCATAATTACATTCTTACATCACTACATCACTACACCACTACATCACTACACCACTACACCACTACACCACTACACCACTACATCACCACATCACCACATCACTACATCAAATCAAATCAAATCAAATCAAATTTTATTGGTCACATGCGCCGAATACAACAGGTGCAGACATTACAGTGAAATGCTTACTTACAGCCCTTAACCAACAGTGCATTTATTTTAAACAAAAAAAGTAAGAATAAAACAACAACAAAAAAGTGTTGAGAAAAAAAGAGCAGAAGTAAAATAAAGTGACAGTAGGGAGGCTATATATACAGTAAAATAAAGTGACAGTAGGGAGGCTATATATACAGGGGGGTACCGTTGCATAGTCAATGTGCGGGGGCACCGGCTAGTTGAGGTAGTTGAGGTAATATGTACATGTGGGTAGAGTTAAAGTGACTATGCATAAATACTTAACAGAGTAGCAGCAGCGTAAAAAGGATGGGGTGGGGGGGCAGTGCAAATAGTCCGGGTAGCCATGATTAGCTGTTCAGGAGTCTTATGGCTCTTATGGCTTGGGGGTAGAAGCTGTTGAGAACATCATTACATCACTACACCACTACATCACTACACCACTACATCACTACACCACTACATCACTGGGACAGTCTCGCTATAATGGCTATACAGTAGAAGACGGATGCTGTAGCTATATGACATTGTGGCTCTTCAAATGTGGACAGTGATGCTGGGTGCAGGGATTTGAAAAGGGGCACTGGAGTGTTTGTCTAACACCTATGTTCTATGTTGACATTGCTCTGTGCATTCCATCCAACACCATCCAACGTCATCCAACACCATCGGTCATCTTTCACCATGTCCACTCACACACATTTGACAAAGTTGTTGCGCACAGTTAGAATCCAGGTGGCAAAACTGATGTCAGTGAAAGTGATTCATTCTGGGGTTCGGTCCTGCTCTGCCAACGTATGACTTCATTGGGAAGAATACTGTATCTCTGAAGATTCTGTTCTAGAACCAGTTTCGGTTAAGCCTTGTCCTGAACTGGAACACACTTTCAAGGAGAGTTCTCCATTGGGCATGCTGTTTAGTCCTGGACTAGGGGTTATGTACTAACCCTTATCTTACCAGGCAAGTTGACTGAGGACATACTCTTTTACAGCAACGACCTGGAGAAGAGTTACCTGGGGGAGGAGAGGGGGGTTATTCTGGGTCTGGGAAACTGGTCCTTAGAATGGGACACTCCAGTATCTGCAAAAGGGAATGGATATATTGATGTACTTCATATAGTCATGCAGCAATGAGCAGCGTACCAAATGGCACCCTATTCCCTATAAAGTGCACTACTTTCCACAAGAGCCCTGTGGGTGCAGTAGACAGGGAACAAGGTGCCATTTTGGATGCAGCCACAGTGTTAATATCAACACGATGAGAGAGAGAGATTGAAAAGCAGTGAAAACACATGGTTGTCAGTCTCTTCATAATCATAGCATCTGTTCACCGTGTAGGCCTATAGACCTCACCTGGGTTCAAATACTATTTGAAATCTTTCAAATACGTTCAAGATTTGCATTAGCCTATCTGCAGTGCCAGATGGGTGGAGTTCAGGACTTTTGGGACTACTCCCATTGGTTCCATTGTGCCAGGCAAGCTCAATCAAACATTGTATTTGAAAGATTACAAATGCTATTTGAACCCAGGTCTGCCACAGACAGACTGTAAGGTTCTGTTCAGCAGTAGACATTAAGCCACAGACTATTAGCACTGGCTTGACCACAACCACAACCAGAGATATGCATTGGTAACTTGTCTTTATTGCTTTACTGAGTTGTTTTGAAGTCGAGTTCACATGGAAAAGTAATACGGCTTGTGGTGAGACAGAGTTATCCTGAGAATGTCCCACCAACTCTGCTCTGCTCTGTTTTGACACACTGGAGCTTTGTCTGTCCAGCTCTCAGAGTGTAGGACCATTATTGAACGATGGAGGTTGTGGTTCAAGTAGAACTGGCACTGAGCTGAGTATTCAGCGTTATCAACTAGTGTCTCATCTCACAACAGACAATAGCTGTGCTTTATCTGACACTTTCTGGTGTTCGTTTGGCTTAATAGAATGTGACAATAGAATAGAATAAATGGTTTGCTACTGTATCTGGACACTCATATTCTAGGAGCACTAGGAGCGTTTGCTACTGTATCTGGACACTCATATTCTAGGAGCACTAGGAGCGTTTGCTACTGTATCTGGACACTCAGATTCTAGGAGCACTAGGAGCGTTTGCTACTGTATCTGGACACTCATATTCTAGGAGCACTAGGAGCGTTTGCTACTGTATCTGGACACTCATATACTAGGAGCACTAGGAGCGTTTGCTACTGTATCTGGACACTCAGATTCTAGGAGCACTAGGAGCGTTTGCTACTGTATCTGGACACTCATATTCTAGGAGCACTAGGAGCGTTTGCTACTGTATCTGGACACTCAGATTCTAGGAGCACTAGGAGCGTTTGCATTAGGTAATGCACACAAACTAAAACACAAAAAGCTCTCTCTCAGTTTGCTCAAAGCACTGTCTCTGTCTGTATTAAAAAGAGCTAGCTGAGTAATGGATGAATGCATTGTCTGTTTAATCCATCCATAGTACATTAAGTGCATCAGATCCAATAGCCTAATTGCAGTGTGTAGTTGTTATCAGTTTCAACCTCTCTATCTCTCTAAGGACTGGATACTGACATACTAACCAAACCTCTCTATCTCTCTAAGGACTGGATACTGACATACTAACCAAACCTCTCTATCTCTCTAAGGACTGGATACTGACATACTAACCAAACCTCTCTATCTCTCTAAGGACTGGATACTGACATACTAACCAAACCTCTCTATCTCTCTAAGGACTGGATACTGACATACTAACCAAACCTCTCTATCTCTCTAAGGA